AACCAGAGAAGGCTGCGACTGGAAATTAAGTAACAAAAACCTGAAGTATCAGATAAGGCATATCTGAGAGAGAGCCTCCCAAGCAGAAGATACAACAAATGCAAATTCCCTGAGGCCAGAGCATGCTGGGCACGTTTGAGGAACAGCCAAGTGCCCAGAGTGGAGTAGATGGCCGGGATTAGGTGAGAAAAGGGGAAAGTTGTTGGAGATGATGACAGAGAGCTAAGGGGGAAAGGAATAGATCATACATGACCTTTTATGCCATTGTAAAGAACCTGGTCTTACAATGCGGTATGGGAAGACTTTGGGTTTGAGCAGAGCAATAACATAATCTTATTTGTATTTTGTCTACACATATACACTATATCTATATGCATAAACATTTATTTTCAATACCCTCTATATGCTGATGGCTTCCACTTCTATATATCCAGCCATGGACTTACGTACCTACCTACTTCCCTGCTATCTCTACAGGTATAACAAATAGGCATCTCAAATTTAATATCACCCAAGAACTTGCTTGTTTGTCCTCATCTCAGTACCGCTTCTTTTATCAGTTGTCCAAGCCAAAGATCTATGAGTTATCATTGAGTCTCCTCTTTCCCATACTGCTCACATCCAATCTATAGCTCTGTTGACTATACCTCCCAAATGTCACAAATATGTCTACTTTCTCTCCATGATGGCCACTTAGACAAGTGCAAAAACACTGTTAGGATCTTCTAAATTTTTAAAATATTTTTAAAAATACACATAACGTAAAATTTACCATCTTAACCATTTTTAAGTGTACACAGTTCAATGGCATTAAGTACATTCACACTGTTGTGCAACCATCACTACCACCCTTCTCCAGAACTCTTTTCATCCTGCAAAACTGAAACTCTGTACCCATTAAACAAGAACTCCCTAATCCCCCCTCCCCCTCAGCCCTGGCAGTCACTGTCCTGCTTTTTGTCTCTATGAATTTGACTACTCTGGGTACCTCGTGTGAGTAAAATCATACAATTGTTGTTCTTTTATGACTGGCTTATTTCACTTAGCATAATATCCTCAAGGCTCACCCATGTTGTAGCATGTGTCAGAATTTCCTCCCCTTTTAAAGCTGAAAAATATTCCATTGTATGTATATACTACATTTTGTTTATCCACTCATCTGTTGATGGACAGACACTGGTTGCTTCTATCTTTTTGCTATTGTGAATAATGCTGCTATGAACACAGGTGTATAAACATCTATTTGAGTCCCTGCTTTCAATTCTTTTGGAAATATATCCAGAAGTGGAATCGCTGGATCATATGGTAATTCAATTTTTAATTTTTTGATGAACTGCCATAATATTTTCCATAGCAGCTGCACCATTTTGCATTCCCAAGGGATCCCCTTTGTATCTTCTTCATTTTCCTTCTTACCCTCTAGGCTCCAGGCACAGTGACCCTCTTTGTTTTTTCTTCAAATATCAACCTCGTTCTTTCTATAGGACCTTTCTAGTAGTTGTTCCTTCTGCCTGTAAAGCTCTCCACCCTGGTGTTTGCTTGACTGGCTCTTTCTGATCACTCACCTTAGACTCTACCAGGAATACTTTTCTTGATGAGTCAGTTGCTATCCCATTAGTGTGGCACTTACCAAGATCTCACGAGTTCCTTGTTTGTTTATTCTTATTTTTTTGGTCTTACCTCCCCCAAACTATGTCCCCAGTACCTTGTACTATGACTGACACATACAAGATGCACTGAAATTGTTGAAATGTCACAGGGATTAATCTGATAAATTTCCTAGTGGGCTATATGTGAACGTTACTCATTAATGGAAATCTGTAATCATCACTCAAAAAATAATAAATGGACTTTAGAAACAAATTAAACCAAGACAGAATCCACAATTGCATAATATAAACAAGACTGGCAGTTGACCTAGTTATCTTGATAATTCAGACTCCACTAGAAATTTAGGGCCTCATTAACTTGGATATTTCACGTAAAATGTGTTTTTTGGTTTCAAATTATTTCAATAATTACCTTAACACCTCTCTTTGCTTTATATAAGCAATCATTATCCTAGAGGTACTTATAAAATCTTTCATGTACTTCTAAGTAGCAAATTTGTTTCAGCCTCCAAACGAAGAGTACTCATGCCACATAGCTTCTATAGCAAATTTTCTAAGTTGACGTGTTATAGTTCATTCCAGTAGTAACCTCTTTTATAATCCATAAGGTCATCTGTGTTAGAAAAAACTCACTCAGATAACATAAAAGGAAAATTGTCATTTCTATCTTTATCTTTAGAAGTGGGTGGGTGGGCACAAACAGGCTATTCCAGATTGTCAACAGTCTTGTAACATGGTTATCTTTATGATAAGGCCATATGTTATAACTGACTTAGGTCTAATACTGCCTTGATAGGCACCCTTCCTTCTGGCCCTGTGGTCTTAAATGAGTGGTAAAAACCCATTAAATATTTAGATGGGGAGGCCGAATATATTCTTATGTATTAAACCCTTATTTTTTATAATGTTAAAATTATTTTGAGGTTTGGATCTAGGATTGAAACTACTTTTATATAGTGAAAAATAAAGATGAGTCTTGTATACTAACAACTCTTCTTCAAGAGCCAGTTTGTTCCCTCATTACCATGGTACCCTTAAAGCTCCCATAGATGTAGTTCTATTTTAAGGTATTATCTATTTAAGTTAGTGGGTACTAACAACTAACTTGCAGGGGCGCTACTCTACGGTTTGCAGAAAGATGGAGAAAGTTATTGTTCTGAAAACATTTTAAATAGTTTTTTCCCTTTATTCTAAAAGATGTTGAATATTGTTATTAAAATCATTAGGCTTTCATATTGTTTTTAAAGAGTCACAAATGCAGAAAATCTGAATAGTATTTAGTTTATTTTATAAATATAAGATTAGGCAGTTACCTTGTTGTTTCAATAATTATAGCAAAAGCTTCAAATGTGTTCAACAGCGTTCATTGTAGAGCCCATTACATTTCAAGGACACTGAAGAGCCTCTGTGGCAATAGACTTGAAGAGTATTAATCCATCCTTTTCATCTCTTTTATTACTTTTACTTAGGGTTTATAGCGGGAAATCCTTCACAAACATTATGTTTCTGCTGTTAAGGTTTATATCCATATTTTGAGATAATTTTTTATGACAACTTTGCATATTATAACACAGGCTTCTTCAGGGCAGACAAGTAATAGCTTGTCTCTTTTTGTTCACAAATGGGCATCTTCAGAAAAAAAGCATCTTTAGAAAATGCTGTTGATATAGAGCATCTTTAGAATGTAGCATCTTTTGAAAAGGTGTTAGTATGGTACCTACTTTAAAAACTTGAATAAAAGACAAGCTTCCATTTATCACTTAAGCTAAAAGTGTACATGTTGGAGATGGATAAAGTTGGTGGTGGAGATTGCATCACCTTTTGCTATTACATCAAGGAGAAAAATATATTGTAATATTACCTTTAATCATCAAATTCTCTTGCCTAATTTGACATTATGCTACCTTTAGAGATTTTCAGTTAGGAAAGAAATAATGAACACAAGTAGCTTAAACAAGGTTCAAATCACTAATATTTTTGAGTACTTATTAATTGCCAGAAACTGTGCTAAGCACTTAATAAACTTTTAAAGTTTAGATGGGAATATTCTTTCTTAAATTTCTTCCCAGCATACTTACCTGATTTTCAAAAAGAATAGGCTACGTGTACCTGTATTAAATCTATCTAAATATTTATCATAGTATATTGTAAATGACTTTTTACTTGTCTGTCTTTCCCATTAAGCTATAAGTTCCAACAGTGCTGATTTCAGGTCTGCCATTTTCCTTCTCTACTGTATCCTGATCATCATGGGTACCTAGTCCCATACCCCAAACATACCAAGTACCCTATAGACATTTATTAATTAAATGATGATAAATTTCCCCAAAATGCATTATATCTTTAGGGGTGAGATCATAAGGAAGAATAAAGATATAAAAATCAGATTGCCATTTTATTGATTTTCAACACACAATCTACTTAAAAGAACATTTATGCCAGTAAAGCATGTGCATTCTCTCCCTAAAAGCTAACATCAGTTGGTGCTACTCATAATGAGAGTAGTTTTATGCATTATCTCATTAAATCTTCTCAACGCCGTATAATACCATTACTATTCTTATCTTCACTCTGCATGTGAGGAAACTGAGGCTTAGAGAGGGTAAATAAGGTCTTAAGATCTCTCAGGTAGTGAGTATATAGTACAAATTTGAACTCGTCTCTTTCTTACTTCTAGAGCTCAAGCTGTGAGTCAATCAATATCTGGAATGCCAGTTTAATTAGAAGGTAAACTCAGAGAAGATAAATAATTTCATGAGGACACACAACTAGTAATGACAGAACCTGGTATTAAACCAAATTTGCACTGTGTGGCTTTAATCCAGGCCACTGTCGCCTCCTTTCTTTAATAATAAATGCACTTTTCACAGATGCAATAAACCACAGGTCAAGTACCATTCTAATCCTGCTGAGCAAATCATGGCCCTAAACTGTTTCTCCTGCAAGTTGCTTAAAAAAAGACTTCTCCACTTATTTTTGTTTTTAATTAAACCAGAGTAAATAATCCTTAGGCAAGATAGTTTTTGACGTTTAATTTCCCTTTCTATTATTTTTACATCTGCCTCGATTTCACCCCTTATTAATGATACCTAAGAAGAAATATCTAGAAAAAAAATATGCCCAAAGGAAATAGTATTAAAAGAAAGATGCATGATGCTACAGTGCCTGTGGAAGGAATTCAATACCCTCTTGTGTGTAAGAAATTCCGTGCGAGTCAAATCTAACGTGGAAAACATACCACATGCTGATGCAAAAAGGAAGTTGAACAATAAGTAGTGCACCATTTGAAGATCTATGGCATATGGTATTAGTCTTGTTGAAATGTAAAGTTTTACCACGCTGTATGTTCTATTGTCAGACATGCTGATGATGCCTCTTTTTGAATTCTAGAGTCTCAAGTCCCGGACCAGCCAAGCTCTCTCCATGTGAGGCCTCAGACCAACTGCATTATCATGAGTTGGACTCCTCCCTTGAACCCAAACATTGTGGTGCGAGGATACATTATTGGTTATGGCGTTGGGAGCCCTTACGCTGAGACAGTGCGTGTGGATAGTAAACAGCGATATTACTCCATTGAGAGGTTAGGTGAGTAGCTGTGGTTTTTATTCTATTAAAGAAAACAAATTATTTGTTTTGAATTATTTTCTTTCTTGGAAAATTGTTCATTGGAATTTGATTTTAATTAGTAGCATATATTAATTCTTAAAACAACTCTCTTTTTCTATCTTCTATCAATCTACACATACACACACACACGCACACGTATTTTTGCTCTGTGGATTTTGAATTGGGGTATTTTATCTAGAGAGATTAACAGTGGCGGGTGCCCTGGTGTATACCCCTTCTTTATATGTCATAAGGATACAAAAAGTTCATTGGATAATTTTTCTTTTTCTAGTGGTCAATGGAATCTTCTAATCTTAATAATTCTTATAAAAAGACAGTCAACACATTTTTCATCTTTTTTCTCACTAGGAAGATATTCTATCAACTTTTCTTTAACCTTGAATTACCTTCTTTTCTCTTACCGTTTATAGATAAAACTTTGCGGCTGCGTCATTATGACTGTAAAACAAAGAGATGAAAAAAGGAATTTTCAATCAAGCCAGTAACTTAGAATTTTCAAACTCCTCTCTGCATATATTCCTGATCCCTTCCCAATCCAAATTCTCTTATTGTACTCAACTTCATTTTACTGAATACAGTACTTGAATTGTGACATTTCTGAATTCATTGAAAATTTGTTTATTCAGAGAGGGCTAAGGTGTGTAACAGTGTTCATATTCATTTTCTGTCTGATTTTTTATAGTGCGATAAGAGATTATATCATTAACAGAGGGAAATAAAAGAAATATATGTCATATATAGGACACTGAGAAGTTAATTCTCCTAGAGCAAAAAGCAAGTTGATTCTACCTGTTGATTTAACACCATATTATTTGCAGTGAAGTACACTGACCTCCTTGCTGGAAATGCAACCTGATTGGGGAGGGGGTGCTACTTATTTGCAATGTCTCTCACAAACAGAATATTTGAGATGAGAAGCCTGATTTGAATTTGAATAGCTTTTCCTGCATTAGCAAGAAAAGATTTTCTCAGTGCAGGAGGAAAATTGCGCTGACCCATTCTCTCTATAATTGCTTCAAACACCAATAAGAGAAGCACCTACTGAAAATCTCCACAATTTTAGTTAGCTTGGCATTTAGAAATAATATTCTCTCAGTCAGTCCATTTAGTTTGAATGTTAAGGCAATCACAAAACTTACATTTTATGGCCATCAAAACTATGTCAGGGGACCCTCATTTATCTGTTATTCAGTATACATCATCTCTGAGAGTTCATCTTGATGCCATGCGCCAGAGTGGGAGACTCCCATGGCAGTGCACTGATTCTCCGGCAATGAGAATGTGTTACAAACAGAATGAAGTCATGAAAGAAAACTGCATTGTTTCACCATATCCTTTTGATAATGATGCTCTTTATTACAAAGGAACTCTCTAGATGTCTCCAAGTCTAACAAAATTGAGGCACTTGGCAGATTAACACTGGCAAATCTCTCCAAATGCTTAACCAGTAAACAAGAAATTTCTCTTTGTAAGGTATGTTTTAGAGAGCTAGGAAAACTGTTAAGGTAAAGTGGGAGACGAACCTGTCTCAATGATATATAATCGAGAGTTGACATGTTAAAACTTATCTGGAAAGAGAAATTACACATATACACTCACATACACACACACATACGTATGTATACATATGTATTTAATTTCTACCAGCTCATACTCTTTTATAACATAGTCCCATGTCTTAACATAAAATATGAAATAAAATAGTGTTTTGTCATTGTTCGAGTATCTTCATGGTTATGCAAATAAACTGGTATTTTTTCAACATGTGTTTCACTGTTTAGCCAGAGTGTATATTAGACAACTTTGTATTTCTAAAGCTTTAAAATTATATTTTAAATACACTTTCAAAAAGGTACTATGAAAACTGATATGACTACTTTAACATTTGATAGAATAAATAAAACAAATGCTGGTTTCTTTGCAAAGTTTGAATGTGGAGTTGAATGAATTATTTATCTTTTTAAAAATTAGAACTTAAGATATATTTAACGTACACTTTGGCTACATAGTGGAATTATATGGTTTAAGGACTGTATGACGGTTATGCAATTAAAAACGAGTTAAGGAAAGTTATAATCCACTAAAGCATAGGGTCAGCCATAAATTCAAGTATCATGGTTGTGTTTTAGGCTATAAAAAGGCTATTTGGTTTATAGTTGACCAATAAACCCTCTCTTCTCTTTGATGAGAGACCGGAACTTCCAAATAGCATTGTGTTTATCAGGCTTAGTAACTCGCTGTTTAGACACCAGGCACTGTGACCTGCTTCAGGACGAGAAATGCAAGACCATTTTGAACAGTATCTAATATTGCCTGCTTTAAAACAAAACAAAACAAAGCTTACCTAGTGTTGGCATAGAGCTTCATTAACCGATGTTTGTACTATTAGATATTTATAATTAATCTTCTGACATCTTACTCCTTTTAGTTTAAAAGCCCTACATGCCAGGTTTGATGTATACACATGGTATAGATCCACAAGATCTGAATTCTAGCAATGTTTAGCAAAATTAATTTGAAACCAAGTTCCTCTTTTAAAACCTCTCTATTTATCTATCTACCAATCTATTGAACAATCTGTCAATCAATTAATTTTTCTGCCTTTGCATCTTTATGGAGATATTTTCATATATAATAAATTGTACATATTTAAAGTATACAATTCATTGAGTTTTTAAGAGTTTTATTGAAGTATAATTGACATGCAATAAACTGTGTATTTTTCAAATTTCTTCTTTAATTTCTTTCAGCAATATTTTATAGTATTTAATGTAGAGGTCTTAAATGTTTTTGTCAGTTTTAGTCCCGAAATATATATACATGTTTTTTGAATTATTTTAAATGGAATTGCTCTTTAGATTTTTTTCTAGTTGTTGACTGGTAGTATAGAAGTATACAACTGTTTTTTGAACGTTAACTTTGCGTGCTGAGACCTGTTAAATTCACCTATTTGTTCTACTAGTAGTTTTGTAGATGCTCCAAGATTTTCCGTTTAACAAGCATATCATATGCAAATAGGAACAGTTTTATGCTTAATTTCTGATCTCCTGCCTTTTATTTCTTTCTCTTGCCTCCCCTCAATGGTTAAGATCTCCAATAAAATGTGGCACAGATGTGGTAGAAGCAGGCATCTTTGCCCTGTTCCTGATCCTAGGGAAGACACGAAATAGGATTTTTTAGCTCTAAGTTCTTCATAGATGTCTGTTACAAGATTGAGGAAATCTTCTACCCTTCTTAGCTTTCTGGGAATTTTCATCATGAATAATGATTAAATTTTTGTGAAATAATTTTCTCTCTCTTGAAATGATCATATGGGTTTCCTCCTTTTTTTTTTTAATATGGTGAATTATATTGATTGATTTTTGAAGGGTAACTGATCTTGAATTTCCCATACAAATGCTATGTGGTCATGATGCATTATCCTTTTCTTATATTGTTGGATTTGATGTGTTAATATTTATTAAGGATTTTTTCGCGCCTATATCCATGAGGTATATTTGTCTACAATTTTCTTTTCATGTAGTGTCTTTACCCAGTTTTTTTCTTTATTAAAATTGTACTGGCCTCGTAAAATTAATTGCACAGATAGCTCTTCTTCTGTTACTGAAAAAGTTTGTATAAAATTGATATTATTGATTCCTGGAATATTTGATAGAATTCACAAACAAAACCATCTGGATCTGAGATTTCCTTTTGAGGAAGGCTTTTGATAATGAATTTAATTTCTTTAACACATATAGGTCTTTTTATATTTTGTATTTTTTTCTTGTATTGATTTGGCAAGTTAAATTTTTCATAAAATTTATCTGCTTTGTTTTGTCTCATTTGTTGGCATAGAATTGTTCATTCACAATATTCTCTTGTCATCTGTGGTGATAAGTGCTTTTTCGTTTCTGATACTGATGATTTATGTTCTCTGTTTTGTGATCAGTGTAGGTAGGGGTTTACCAATTTTGTTGATTTTGTCAAAGAAAGAGCCTTAAACATTATTAATTGTCTCTATTATCTGTCTTTATTTTATTTCTTTCATACCTGCTCTTATCTTGACTATTTCTTTTCTTGTGCTTATTTTAGTCGTACTTTTCTATTTCTAATTTCTTAAGGTGGACCCTCATAATGTAGGTATATAAAGCTATTGGTGTTCCTCTAACCACCAGTTCCCTTGAATCCCACAAATTTTGAGATGTTATATGTTCATTATCATTTAGTTCAATATAGTTTCTAATTTTCCTTGATTTCTTTTTGCCCCATGAGTTTTGTTCCTTAATTTCTAAATTTTGAGTTTTCCTAGATATTATTATTGATTTTTTATTTTATTTTATCATGATTAAAAAATATGTTCTGTTTGATTTCAGTATTTTTAAACTTACTGAGATTTATTTTATGGACCAGCATACTGTTAATTTTGTTGAATGTACTATGTGAACTTGAAAATAATGTATATTCTGCAATTATTAGATATAGAGTTCTGTAAATGTCAATTAGATCAAGGTCTTTGATAGAATTTTTCAGATCATCTATGTCTTTATGAAATTTTTGATCAATAGTCTGTGAATTGCTAATACTGAGTATCAAAATCACCTTTTATAAACATGAAATCATCTGTCTCTCTGTAATTGTGTCAATTTTTTGGCCTCATTTATTTTGAGAGTCTGTTATTAAGCCAATACATATTTATAATTATGTCTTCCTGGTAAATCACTTCATTTAGCACTTTCAATGTCTCTATCTATGGTAATACTTTCAGTCTTCAAGATGATTTTCTCTGTTATTAATATAGCCACTCTAGCCTTCTTACACTTACAGTTTGCATGTTATATCTTTTTCCATCCATTACTTGCAACCTATGTCTTTACAGTTAAAGTTTTTCTGTCTCTTGTATAGTAGTATATAGTTGGGTCTTGCTATTTTACACTCTGAAAACTTTTTCCTTTTAATTGGAGTTTTTTGACCGTTAA